ATTTTTTCTTTTTGATAAGTCATGTTTTTACATTATTTTCTAGTACGCTACTGTCCTATCTGTATTAATACTATAATTTACGCCTACTGAAAGCTTATTTGTGTATCTGTTCCAAGTGACTTACCCAAAGAGGTCATAAATGGGCAAGTACCTGCGCGACCGCTCGCCAGCTTCCTTCGTCAGACCTGTACTAAAGTATTTGTTGTTGCGAAGAAGAATATAATTAGTATGACCGAACTGTTACAGTTTCTGCCACTTGATGGTATGACAGGTTTCGATTCGCGATAACTTATTAGCATGATTTTGTCATCTTGCTGACATTTAGTGTTATTAAACATTATCTAGGCTCGTTTCAAGTGTTTCAACTCAACCCTCTAGTTGAAAATCAGTCAATCAAGAATTAAAATTTTATTGGCCTAGTGTTTATTAAACGATTTTTTGAACGAGAGTTAATGTGGTGTGGGATGTTGGTGAAGATGGTATTTAATGAAAAGTTCGCATGGACCATGCGGTGTAGCGGATAGTCGGGTACCCGATTGTCTGGTACCCTGTAAATGTAACGTTTGATTTTCTATGATGATGGGTGGTGGTACAGTGAAAATTTGGGTAACATAAGCGTATACTAGGGGCGAGTTGAAATCCTATCATAGGGATATTCGAAAGATTTGATCATTATTAATCTCTTCATATAATTTAGACTTTTCTAAAAAATTTGGAAGTTTCACTAAATTATGCAAAAAATAGAAAATGCCGATAAAGAAATGTGTTGTTAGGTGAACATTGTGCTTTATACTATTTCTTACCCTGTCTATTTTGCTTGTCTAAATCGACGCATCTGTAAATAATGGTAAATTCATCATAAACCATTCCGATAACTTTAAATACCAATGAATCGGCAAGATCGGAGGAATCTAGACGTAGGACCGCCGATAAATAAGAAACAGGTTGCCATGTAACTTTGGCTTCCTTTGTAGACGATATACCGGTGGCCAAATTTTTGTTTGTGTACACAACATCCATAGTTCTACTGCCAGTTACGGTAAAAGATACGGTCTGGCAATCGCCGTTGTCGTTGCTGTATGATATAACTGGGTACCACGGCGCCCCATTCCTTGCAAACTATGAAAAGAAAATATAAACATATTTTGTTTTTTTTTTTGGCTTTAGAATACAATTAACCTACTCGCTCCAAATTGAAAAACTGTACCGCGCTCACATAGCTTCGGTCTCTACCATTACACTGGCCTCGCGAGGTGTATTGCGAACAAGAAAGTGAAATTAATGCAACAAAGACAATCGCTGAAAGTTGGTTAAACATTTTTATTAGTTTTAACTTGTGTAACTTCCAATCTAAAGTTATTTAGCAAATTAAATTGACTAACCCAATTGGGTCTAATCAAGTATTTATATTTTCTTTTGATCGGAAATGCGACGTTATCTTTCGTCAATCGATGATAACTGCATACTTTTTTAATACGTATACAACTTTGGCTCAAAGGATTCTTTGTTATTTATCTGAGCACTCGAAACCATGAGTCGTGTTTTGAAAACAGGAATGGCCTAAAAAAATAAAAATACAAATAAGGTAAAAGGCCCAGTTTCTGACACTCAAAGAGTGACAGCTGAGATTATATTACGATAACTAAAATAATATTTNTAATAAATAGTAACGAGTAGTACATTCTTTATAAATACATTCTCCCGAATAAAGGATTGTATAATTTTTGGGGCTTTTACTGTAAGAGTTTGATACATGTTAGGTTTTTCCAACGACGATGTAATATAGGTATACTAAATGAGAAATTATTTATTAAGCATTACCGATAAGTTCTTGAAATGTTTGATAAGTAATTTCTAATTGTATTAGGTGTAATAATGTTTTAGGCAAACCTTGATTGTACGTGACTTTTTAAGATAATCTATAATTGGACTTTTCGGTTAAAAATTAACCGAATTAAACTGACGTTTAAAATATGTAATAAAAAAATGGAAAGGTTTTTTATGACTACATTCTATATCTGGTCTGTATGTCCGAATTTTGACGTATTAGAGGCGATCGCGCATAATTGCAAAAAATTTAGCGGGTGTCTATTCGGCTGTACAGTTGGTTGCATACTTTGTAAAGCATCATTGATAAAGCGTAGCAGGTACGAAACTCCGGCGATAAAAGCTCAAAAAATCGTTAATTTCATAGCAATTCTTACATGTACTAACTTATGCATGTAGGTAAATCTTGAGATTTAGAGCTTTTACAGTAATATATATGGATATAGTTATTCTTACCCCGTCTGTGAGCCTTGTCAATGTTGGAGCATTGGTAAAGAATGGCGAATTCACCGTATTTAACTCCAATGACTTTAAATACAGATCGTTTAGGTTCTTTGGGATAATCTAATTCTATCCCTTGTAATTGGGAACCGTGTGATACTTTTACTACACCTTGCCCTCTAACTTTTACACCGGTGGTTAGATTTTTGTGTTCATAAACGGTAAGCAAGTTTTTAGAACTCGTTGCAAAATAACGTTCGACCCGGCAATCGAAGATAGGTGAGTTTGCCATTATAGCGTAATATGGCGCCCCATTGTCTGCAAACTATGAAAAAAAAATTATGAAGCAGGTGAATGTATTGTTTTTTTTTTTGTTTTAATTCAACATAAACCTAAAATTGTCAGAAACTGGGACAGTGTCAATAACTGGGTCTCTTACCTTAGATCATCTTTACAAGTACAGGAAAAGAATAACAAAATTGCAAGAACTGGGCGATTGAAACTTCTAAGTAAAAGACTGAAGGGTTATTTATAACTATTTTCAATTTTGAGGTATTTCGGGTGGTAGAAAATAATTGCAACAAAAGTCTACGGATCGATACTCTGATGTATAGTTGGTTGCATACATTCTAAAGTTTCATTCGTAATACGTACGAAATTCCAGCGGCAAAACCTCCAAACAGGGTTAATTTTATACCAACTCAGTAGATTAATCCTAATATTTTTAACTTAACAGTAATATAATATATAGGTAGACGTACACTTACCTCGTCGGTTTTGTACGTATTTTTATTTTCAAATTAATGTGATCCTTTTTTAATTACTTAGTTGCTGGTTCGACCGGAATTTTAAAGGTAGGAATAACTTAAAAACCTTGGGACTTGTTCAATAAATTAAATTAACCTAGTCCTGTGTCATCACATCATAACTAATAATTATTATAAGTTTTTTTTTAATCGCAAATTTGCCGATGCTTCTCATCTCGTAATCACCGATAAAGATAATTAGTGTGTTTACTTTCACATATAATAATCTTTGATTTTATTGACTTATTGATAACATGCCCTAATAGAAAATTATATCGTATCTGTACATTCTTAGGAAAGTTAATTTGAAATGACATAACATGTACTTACACTTTATTCAATTTTTGAAAATTTTTTTTTGCATGTCACTACACTTGAGAGAGACTGTCACCCTATTGTAAAGATTATTTATCAAAGCTAAAAACAAATAATTGTTAAAGTCGGAAAAATCTGAATACCTTAAGCACTTAAAACGCATTAAATTGTAGCGTAGGTACCTAGATACTTTTGCTCATTGTCCATCACTTGTTATATATTATTTTCTTATTATTTTATAATATATATATTTATATATATATATACAGCCTGATCATCTCGAATGTTTGACTGTTGGGGACAGATTTTTTAATTTGCTCTGTGGTTTGTATGGGAACAGAAAAGTGAAATTTTTACGTTTTTCTGAGCAATTATTCCAATTTTTCACTTCTTAAGAACCTTCCTCGGACTTCAAAGAATATTAAAAAAAAAAATTATCGAAATTGG